ATTATTATTACTATTATTATTATTATTATTATTATTATTATTATTCACTTAAAATAATGCCGCTATGTGTCCGTTTTTGTGTTTTTTTCACATTTTTTCCCTTTTTATTGTGACGCTGAGCTGCTTTTCTTAACAAACAAACACATGTTTTGGTAAAATTGCAGATCGGGAGTTTTAATCTTCTGATTTTCTCTCAGAAAGGATGTTTATTGTTTTTTTCCGGAGAATATTAATATTAGATCCTAACCCTTAATCATGTTCAGGCTTTTATTATGAACAATATTTTTTTTGCTATTGATTAAATGTTTTCAAATCCAGCCTAAAGGATTTTATTATCTACGATAAAAAAAAGTTTTTATTGTAGATTAAGCTGTTCTGAGAAACTGATATAAACTATATGGATATAAATGTGAAAAATGATTAAATAAATAATTTAATTACAGTATAAAAAGGATAGAAAAGAGTTAAAATGAGAAAATAAGTTAATGATGAATGTAATAACTGTAAGTAATATACGTTTGTTTGTTTTTTTTACTTGGAATATTTTCTTTCTATTATTTGCAGAAAACTATTAATTTAATATGAGGAGTAAAACATTTTTTTTTCTTTATAAATACTTTTTTTCTGTTTTTCCTTAAATAAAATTAAAAATGTGTAATTTGTTTGTGCATTAAAGAACCAAAGACTTCAGATAAAAAGAGTTATAATAATGATAATAATAATTGAAATAATAATACTAATTATTATTATTGTTATTATTATTATCATTATCATTATTATTATTATTATTAGTAGTAGTAGTAGTAGTAGTAGTATTTGTGCCTTTAATTGCAGCTCAACATGTTTTCCTGCATCTATATGCAGATAACAACACTGTTTTCTTCTTTTGTGCTGCAAAACAATAATGAAGAACAAATATGCAGATTTCCATACAAGCGAGCAGATCTTTAGCTTTTTTTTTAGCTTTTCATGAAGACGAGGAGCAGAAAATCCAAAGCCAGAGGGAAGTCAGAAAAGTGTCTGATGCCAGAGAAGATCATGTGAGTTTAGCTGAGTACGGGAGGGGGGGGGGGACCGGGAAAAGAAAAGAAAAAGAGCATAATAGCCCAGACAGACGAGAGCTAAATAATAAGAGATAATAAATAATAAAAATAAATAATAAAACCAGACAATCGTTCAGCCTGATGGAAGTTAATCAACTTATGATGAATGTGTTCCAGCTGCCATTATCTCCCACCGAGCCCCGAGGAACGCACACGCACCCCAGAAACAAAGACACAAACGTGCACGAGCATACGCGCGCACGTTCACGTGCACACAGCCACGTGCACGCCCCCCAGAGCCTTCAAAAGACTCACAATTATGTTT